TACAGTGAGAACCATAGGGGGTTCCCACCACCCTGCACCACAGCTGTGAGGTGCTGGGCTTTCCCAGCTTCCTGTCGCATCCCCACTCAAGATTCTAGATCCCTCTAAGATAGGGACTGCACCTGGAGCCCCCTTTGTGTCCCAGCCGGCCAAGGACCCAGCCCTGTGCCTCGCACAGAGCCCTGGATTATGTTTTAGAGCTGCTGTGGCTTCCTCAAGGTCACCCAGCCAATCAGAACCCCAGTGCCTGGCCTCCACCTGGCAGGTGCAACCCTGAGGCGTCCAGGGCTGGCTGTCCTCTCTGAACTCCCAGTCCCATCAGACTCTGGGAGAGTCCTGGCGTCACCTTCCCCGCCATGTCCCAGCCAGTCATCGGCCTTGAATGGAGCCCAGAAGCCAAAGTAGGCAGCTGCGGGGGGAGGGTGGGAGAGGGGGACAAGAGCCCATGGCCTTCACAGCCGCTGGGCCCTGCTGTGGAGCCCGAGATGTCCTCGCGCTCTGCCTTGCCCCGGGGCCAGCCCAGCCGGGCAAGGGGCAGACAGCTGGCATGCCGATGCATGTGGGAAAAGGTTGGAGGCAGAGGCCAGACAAGTTCATTTTTAACTCGGGCTGGATTCGGAGTGGGAGGTCGTTCTGGCCGCTGTTCCCTTCTCGCCGACTGCCATGCTTGCGGTGCGTGGCGCAGGGCTGGCTCCCTAAAGATGCCCGGGAGGTATTTGCCACCTGGATGAATGAGCGAGTGAATGAATGAATGGGTAGGTAAGAGGCAAGGCCTGGGCTTTACTCACTCAGTGTTCTTCTGCCACACGGGCCTCGCCAGTTGTGCTCTGTGACTGTTTATGGGACGAGTAAGTGGCCCTGCGGGAGCCCCTGCCCGCCCTCCCCTCTGCTCCCCTCCCCCCTCTCTGGATCGCAGCCCCTCGGGGAGTGGAATCAAAGTGGATTCAGGAGCTGGGGAGAAGCAGGCCATGGCTTGTGCTCCTCCCTGCCGAGCTGACTGGGAGCTGGGGGCGGACGGGACCCCCGCCACAGCGGAGCTGCCGGATGTGTGGGGCTGAGGGTTCCAAGGCTGGTCAGGGTTGATGTCCTCAGGCTCTGCCGCCTGAAAGCTGTGTGGCCTCATACAGATTGCTTCCCCTCTCTGTGCCCATTTCCTACTCTGTGACATGGGGCCACAGAGGCCACTAGGAGGAGGCAGGGAGGTCAAACAGACAGATGCACGTGGGTTCGGCACAGCGGGCAGTCAATAGATGCTCGCCACTGTCACTAGCATGAATGTGCACATCACTCTTTCCCAGCATCCCCCCCCACTGGCCTGTGGGCTCCCTGACGCCCCCTGCAGCCAGCCAGACGGGGATGAGATGACAAAATGTGGGCAGGGCCAAAGGCCCCAATTCTCTGTTCTTTTAATAAAAATAAAGACAGCCTTTCGCCACCAGGCTCCGATTCATTGTTCTGCCAAGGCTAGCAGCACAGGCTCCATTCCTCCTCGGACTTGGAAAGTTCCTTCCTTTCTTTCTCCTCCCCTGTCACATTTCCTTTATCTAAATCCTCAGCTATGAAAGGGCACATCCACAGCTGGGGGCGTTATCTGGTGAAGGGGACCTTTTCCTCCCTGTCTCCGAGATAAGGCGCCTTATCAGCCCCCATGTCAGGGAAGGTGCCAGAGCATCCTAATCATTGAGGCTTTCGACATTTTCCCCTCCCTTACCTCCCCCCTCTTTTTTTTTTTATTATTAAAGTCACAAAAGACCTTGAGCTTATAAACAGTCTGATTTGCAGATAGGGTTTGAAAATGAGCAGCGCTTCCTGGATGGTCCCTGGCGGGGAGTAATGAGTCCAGGACGGGGGCCGTGAGGGGCTGGCTCTCTGCAGATGGGATGGCACCAGGCAAGGAGGGGGACACGAGGGGGTCACAGGAAGACCGTGTTTTAAGCGCCCACCCCCTCCTGTCCCTGCCTTGCTGTGTGACCTTGTGCAGGACGCTCGGCTTCTCTGGGCCTTGGTCAGTTCATCTGACAATAACCAATTCATTGATTCAGTCGCTCATTCAACAGCTGTTTATTAAATGATAGACTCTTTGCCAGGGACTGGGGGGGAGAGAAGCAAAGAAGACACAGTCCTTGCTCTTAAGAAAACTCATAGTCCGGTGGAGAGAGACGTGAAAATGGCAATCACAACTCTGTGTGACTAGCGGCTAGCCAGAGAGGGGGCAGTGTGAGAAGGCAGACTTGAGCTGGGGCAGATCGGGTGGTGCTGCCGTAGGCAGAGGGCCCAGCATGGGCACGGGTCTGGAGAGGCGTGAGGCAGCCAGGCTGGAAGGAGGGCGGGGGGACCACGAGAGATGGGGGTGCCTTGGGACGTAGGTGCTGGGGATGACGGGAGGTGGCGGCGGTGGCCCATTCGTCCTGGTCATGCGTGGCTGGCCCCTGCCCCCTCCCCTACTAGGCCTCCCACCTGCCCCCAGCAGCAGGGCACAGCGTTCCTGGGAGAATGGGCAGTGAGTTGGGGAAACTAGGGGTACAGAGCAGGGGGTACAGGAAGCAGGGCCTTACCTACGGGACCTCCAGAAGTGAGGGACAGAATGATCCAGGCAGCTGCCCTGGCAAAGCTGAGCCAAGGCCTTAACTCAGATGCCTTCACTTCCTGAAAATCCTCCGTGGCCCCTGAGCTCAGTCCCTTCTTGGGTCCTGGAACTGCCTGGGCGCCCAGCACAAGAGCACTCTGAGAACCAGACTCTGGGAGGGCAGGTGATGGGGTCAAGAGAGGCTCCGAAGTAGGCGACCTGCCCCTGCCCCCAACAACTGCAGCCCCTGGCCTGCCCTTTTGTGCCTGCAAAGCATGCTGGGATATATGGCCCATGGGGGAGTAGTCGGGGGGCTGGGCTTCTGGACCCCGGCACCTGGTAGGGCTGGGAGTGGCCAGGTGGCCCTGGCGCGCGGTGGCACGTCCCCATAGACTGCCTGTGTATACATGAGAGGACTCCAGAGAGTGCCAGCAGGCGTGGAAGGGCATGTCACGCAGCACACAAGTACACGTATGTACATACATGAGCGTGCACCAGCGTGAGCGCGCATGCGTGCCCAGCACAAGCGTGTCCGAGCGGGGCAGAGCGTGTGCGCGCCGTGTCCTCCAGGCCCCTCCGAGGCTGTGGTGGCCGCGGGCCCCGGCCAGGCTCATGCCTGCCACCTGCTCACGTCCCAAGTCCCCGAGGAGAAGAGCGGCGCTGCCTCCCCGCAGTCAAGGACTTTCATCCTGCAATAAGCCCCACTTCATTCCCTTTTTAAACTGTATAATTTCTGCCTGATTGTAATGGCCTATTTTAAAATTACAAGAAATCAAAGCCGGGAAGTGGATACTGCAGCTTTTATTGCGCCGCCGTGTTAAGGCTGGCGATGGGGAGGTGGTGAGAATCCCCTCCCCTGCCCCCCTCCCCGCACCACCCATCCCCCACTTTCCCCCTCTCTCTCTCTGGGTTTTTTTTTTTTTTTTTGAGACAGTAATAGGAGAAAATTGGTTTTGAAACTGAATAAAAGTCCCTTTCAGAGGAAATCATTTCTTTCAGGGTACCTTTGCTGAAAGTAAAATAGAGCATAATGAAAGGTGGTTACGTGATTGTCTTTCATTTGCCGAGAGGCCAGGACAGACGGGAGGCTGCAACCGTCTCGGGGAAATACAAGATTGGAATAATTGCGCCATAACAAGGAGCTTGTTGTGAAATTAGTATCTTAAGAAAGTAGTGAAAAAAGGCTTTTCCTCATGAATACTTCATTATTAGAAGAAAGCGGCAGAATTTAGGGCTGCAGACACCTGTTTAGTATTAAATAACTTCCCTTTCTTCCCCCCAACACACACCCTCTCTCTTCTTTCTTCTCCTCCTTTTTCCGAAGCAGCGGGAGGACTGAGGTGACCCAGCGTGGCTGCTCGGGACGTGGGGGGACAGGAGGTGGTGGGGCCGGGGGTTCTGGGTGGGTGGACATCCGGGGTGTCCAGGGTTGAGCTGACACCTGGACCCACCTTCTCCTTAGCAGGAAGAGAGGAGGAGAGGGACCTGGTACCTTCACCCTCCACTCAGGGGCTCCAGGGAACGTGCCTCAGCTTCCCCACACGTTACCTGCAGGAAAGTGGGTTTTGTGCAGATAAGGCGAGTTTCCGTGAGCGCCAGGCACCGGACTCTGGGTGAGGGAGTACCACCTGGACCTGTGTGGAGCCACGTCTGAGCTGCCACCTAAGTGGGGCAGGCACAGACCTCCGTATGGCCTGGCAGGATGGAGCTGCCATGCGTGGGTGGCCCTGCCCTTCCCATTTGGGATGAGGATCCCGGCTCAGGGCAGCCTTGGTGGCCTGCTGGGGCTGGGCCTAGGGCTCAGCGTGGGTCAGGACTGGCAGGCTGCTCATTCTCCCAGGGACATCGCATCCTGGCATCGCCCCTCCAGGGCTGCTGTGTGAACACGCCAGGCAGGGGCAGACCAATACACCCACGTGGCCACTGGCATTTCCTGGGTACCCCTCTGCGTAGACTCCACAGATGACTGGGTGGGGTCTTCACCCTTAAAGAGCTCAAGGGCAGCCTGCTCACGGGGGGGGGGGGGGCCTACGAGCCAGCCAGGGGTCCTCACCAGCAGGAAGGACAGCCTGCTGTGGGACAGGGAGCGGGGAGGTCTGACCCAGCCTGGAGGAGCGGGGCAGCCCCCTGGAGCGGGTGACCGCACAGTAGGCGGGGCCAGGGCCACGTGACTCGTTGCTTCCAGCCCTGTCATGGTGGAAGTCCACCACTTGGGAGTCCTGGATCCTGTCCCTTCCTGTGAGGCCACAGATGAGCCTCTTGATGCCTCAAAGCCCTGGTCCCCTTATCTGTCACGTAGGGGACAAAGGGTGTCTGTTCTGAAAGTCTCTGATGTCCTGTGGGGCACTGGGGAGGCTGCTGGCAGGGACTCCCCGGGGTGGCAGGAGGTGGGCATGGAACACCCCGAGTGACGAACCCCTCTCCCTCCTCACAGGGACCCTGCCGCAGAGTGCACCCCACCAGGGGCCCCCAGCTCTGCCATGCTGGCCTGTCTGCAGAGGACCCAGAACCCGCCGGGCCAGCACCTGGCCTGCCCGAGCAAGAGCCTGGAGCTGCGCAAGTGTGAGTGGGACCCCTCCCCCTCCCGTTGCCCTCCCCTCCTCCCCCTCGCCCACTCTGAGTCCACTGGGGCCGCTTTCTGTGCCTGCAAGCTCCGGCTCACGCCCACCTCTGGCCTTTTCAGGGCAGGTCGTGGACAGGGAACGCCATTCGACCCTGAGCATGTCCCCCACCTCGACCCTGCCTGAGAGTGTCTGTGTTCTTAGCCCTCTGCCCGTGCTGTGCCACCTCCCTGGTGAAGCACTAGGGAGGGTTAAAGAGTTAAACACAGGGAGGTCTGCACAACATTCTGGATGTCTAGTATCTCTTGGGAAAAAATCCGAGGGTCTGGTAACCCAGGCTGCATTCCTGCACGGCAGCGACTGGTTAGGGCTGGGCTCCTGCCTCTGTAATGGGGACATCCATTCCCATTTACCAAAGTCCCACCCCTCCCCATTGCTCCTGTCCTGCAGCCAGGGATCAGCTGTCATTTGTCGTTATGCTTAAACTGTGGCTTCTTTATTTTCTTTCCAATATGTATCTGTAGACAAGATAACACACTTACGTGATCCAAAACTCAAAAGGAAGGAAGGGGCATACAGACTAAAGCTCCCACCCACTCCCCTGCCCAGAGGCAGGTGATGTCAGCTTCCTGTGGGTCCTTCCAGATGTTTTGTGTACGTCCCAGCAAGTACATGTGTACGTGCCTATTACACACACCCATCTTGCACCTCATGTTTTACTCTGCAATATATCCTGTATGCCGGCTTCTAAAAAGCTTCCTTGCTCTTTGCCATATAGTTTTCCCCAGCAAGGATGAACCGCGACTCACTCGGCCAGTCCTCTCTTTAGACTGTACCCAACCTGTTGCCGTGACAAGCAATGCCACAGCAATAAACCCTGTGTCACAGGGTGTGGCTAAAACTTCAGGCTAAATTTCTGGGAGTGGGCTTTGACCTTCAAATTGGGCTTTGACCTTCACTGGGTCAAAGGTATGTGCGTTTGTCATTTTGGTAGATGTGGTTGGACAGATGTCTCTAGATGTTGTACCTGTTGACACCCCACAGCACCAAAGATGACAGGGTGGGGTCTTCACCCTTGTGTGAGAGGGTCTGTTCCCCATGCCCGCACCAACACAAGCATGGTAACAAACATTTAGGCTTTGCCGAGCAGTGAAAACAGGATCACGGTGTAGTTTTAATTTAGTTTAATATGAATGATATTGAGCATCTTTCCCCATTTGAGCTGATTGTTATTCCTTTGCATAATCTGTTTATCTCCTTAGCCCATTTGTTCGATCGAGTGGTGGGTTTTGTCCTTTGATTTGTAGGAGCTCTTTGTATATGATGGAATTCGACCTTAGTCTATCAAAAGAATTGCAGATGTTTTGTGTCATACTCAGAAAGTCCTTCCATAGGCCGAGATTTTTTAAAAAATACTTCTCCAAGGTTTCTTCTAGTTTTGTTATAGTTTTAAAAATATACATATGATCTCTATGTTTTAAAAGGTTGCTTCTTTTATGGTATTTCTAACAGTACAGGACTTAGATTGTTGTGTAATATATCTGGTCTAAAGTGTGAGGTGTGGATCCAAGTGTATGTAAGTGTCAGTGTAATATTGTTTTAATTATCATAATGTTATATTTTTAAAATGTAACAGCTTTATCGAGATATAATTCATATGCCACTCACCCCTTTGAGGTGCACAATTCAGTAGTTTCTAGTACATTCACAGACTTGTGCAGCTATCACCGAAGTCAATTCTAGAACACTTTCATTACCCAAAGAAGAAACTCCTGTCCAACATCAATGACCTCCTCATTCCCCCAGCTAACCCTTCTTTTTTTTTTTTTTTTTTTTTTGAGACAGACTCTCGCTTTGTTGCCCAGGCTACAGTGAGTGCCATGGCGTCAGCCTAGCTCACAGCAACCTCAAACTTCTGGGCTCAAGCGATCCTCCTGCCTCAGCCTCCCAAGTAGCTGGGACTACAGGCATGCGCCACCATGCCCGGCTAATTTTTTCTATGTATATTAGTTGGCCAATTAATTTCTTTCTATTTATAGTAGAGACGGGGGTCTCGCTCTTGCTCAGGCTGGTTTCGAACTCCTGACCTTAAGCAATCCGCCCGCCTCGGCCTCCCAGAGTGCTAGGATTACAGGCGTGAGGCACCGCGCCCAGCCTACCCCTTCTTTTTCTGTAGATTTCCCTATCTTGGAATTCTTTTGTGACTGGCTTCACCCACTTAGCACATTTTCAAGGTTCATCCTCACTGTAGCATGTCTGTACAGGTTGAGTATCCCTCATCCAAAATGACTGGGACCAGAAGTGTTTTGGAATTTAGAATTTTTCAGATTTTGGAATATTTGCATTATACTTACCAGTTGAACATCCCAAATGTGAAACTCCAAAATGCTCCAACAAGCATTTCCTTTGAGTGTCATATCAGTGCTCAAAAAGTTTTGGACTTTGGAGCATTTTGGAGTTGAGATATTCAACCTGGACCACATTTTGATATTTGATGGAGCTTGTTGCTCCTTGTTTATCCAGCCCCCACCTGAATTTCCTTGGGTGTTTTATTTACTTTCCTGTCTGAACTGTGGAATCCACTATCTAAGGTGAAAACAAAAGTCCTGCTCATGTTTTAATTGGGATTGTATTACGACTTTTTGTTGTTCTTGTTGTTGTTGTTTTGAGACAGGGTCTTGCAGTGTTGCCCAGACTGGAGTGCAGTGGCTGTTCATAGGTGCAAGCATGGCATTCTGTAGCCTCGAACTCCTGGACTCAAGTGATCCTCCTGCCTCAGCCTCCCCAAGTGGCTGGGACTATAGGTGTGTGCCACCACACCTAGCTGCATTATTACATTTATAGATTTAGGAAGAAATGGCATTTTTATAATGCAGCTCTTCCCTCCAAGAACATGATAGCCTTTCTGTTGTGTACCTCAGGAATTTAACAGTTGCTTCATTTAGATCTTACACATCGTTAGGTTTATTTCTGGATAGGTTAGCTTTTTTGGCTGGTCTTTTTTTTTTAATTTTATTATTTGCCTGATATGATTTGTAGGGATAGTCTTTTTTTTCCATAAATTGAGGTTGTTTATATGAAGGCGATTAACTTCTGCCACCTTACTGAATTCATTTATTGTTTGCAGTGGTTTTTCAACTTAGGCTCTTAGGTTTTCCTGTTATACTATCATATCATTTAAAAATGATAATTTTACCTCCTACTTTGTTTTATTTTTTAATTTGTCTTATTTAATAAAGTTGGCTACTGTCCCTGGAATGAGGAAAAATAATAGTGGTGATAATAGACATTCTTGCTTTGTGGCTTCTAGGTTTCCTAATTAGGCAATGTTGGTTTGGGAGCAGATATTTTACCAGGTTAAATAAGTCTCCATGTATTCCTGTTTTATTAAGGATTTTTAAAATCAAGAATGGAAGGTGAACTTTGCCAAATTACTTTTCAGTGTTTATGAAGACAATCATATGTTATCTTTCCTTCAGTCCATTTAATATTGAACTATCCTTGCATTCCAGATTAAACCCCATTTGGTCATGGTGAATATTTCTTTATAATATACTACTGTATTGGATTTGTTGTTTTATTTAGGATTTTGACCTCAGTTTCATTGGTGAGATTACTTTTTACTTTTCGTTTTTCTAATTTTTGGAGCGATTTTGGTTGGGTTTTGCTGTATTGCACTTGCTTTGCAAAGAAAACGGAGGCTTTCCTTTTTTCTGTATGGTTTGGAACAGTTTAAACAGACAGCATTATTTGTTCTTTAAAGTTTTGATGATCCCCCATGAAACTGTTTGGACTAGTACATTTATTTGGGGTGATGGGTAGCTTTTAGATAATGTTCTCTATTTCTTCCATAATAATTTGGTCTACTTTTTAATTGTTCTGCTTCTTGAATGAGTTTGCTAAATTATGTTTTTCTAGAAAACTATCCATTTTATCCAGGTTTTCAAATTTATTTGCATGCAGTTGAAAGTTTTTGCAGTTCTTTCAAGTGGTGGGTGAATCAGCCTTATTTCTTACATTCGCTATTTTGTGCTCTTTTTCCATTTTTCTTCATTGGGTTAGTTAGCTAATGACATTATTTTATTTGTCCCCCCTTCCTCAAAGATCCGTTTTAGGATTTTGTGGTTTCTAATTCATTAATTTATGCCTTTATCTTTAGTAAAGCCTTCTTTCTGCTTTCCTTAGGTTTTAATTTCTTGAGTTAGAGATTTAAATCTTTATACTGATAAACAAACAAACAAAAAACAGGAAAACTTAAGGCTATGAAGTCTCTGAGCACTGCTGAGCTATACTGTCCTATAGGTTCTAATATGTAGTATTTTCATTACTTTCTAGGTATATTATAATTTTGATTTCTTCTTTAACCTAATACTCATTGGAATCCCACCTCTCAAGTATTATAGTAGGTGCTTTTGTGTTTCATTACTTCTAGATTTTTTTTTTTGCATATGATCAGATCTACTTTCTTAGAATTTATTAAAGTTTTCTTTGTGATATAATCTATGGTAATTGTTGTGAATTTTATGCACTTTTTATGGGGACTTGAAAAGAAGATATTGGCTCTGTTTTCAAGATTCAGAGTTTAGTGTATACCAACAATTATATCCACCATATTATGTTGTTAGGTTTTCTATATCCTTACCTGTCTGGGAGAGAGAAAGGAATTAGACACCTATTGCTAACATGTTCCTATCTATTCTTCTTGTAGCACCTGTAGCTTTGGCCTTATAAATGGTGATGCAATGTTATTTAATGCATAGATATTAATACCTTAAATCTTCTTAGTGAATTACATTCTAATAGATAAAACTGAATTCAGGCCAAAAAGGCCAGGATTCAACTTTATCTGTTAAGATGGTAATCTCTGCTTTTATAATTCACATTTTTCTTGAAACTTTTGCCAATCCTTTTAATTCAACCTTTCTGAATTACTTTATTTAGATGTGACTCATGTAACTACAGAGCTGGATTAAGCTTTGTGATCCAATCTGAACGCCTTTT